TGTTTGAACATTGATTGTCGGATACTTTGAGACTAAGACAAATCTTTCAGCCATTCACCTCAAAGGATATTACTGAACTAACATTTGCTGGCGTGCAGAAAGATCTCCGGGCACAGATCCTTGCTACTTATGAATGGATCCGTGGTTGGAACCATTTTGAATGGTTGAGCACTTCTGACAAGGTGAATTTCGTAAAACAACTCATAGAAGAATCACAAATCAACTTCGCGGCTGCAGTGTTCGCAGTTGCGCAGTTACCCAGCTGCATTTTTCGGCTTTCTCTTACTCGAAGCGCTTCTTTTCTTCGTAGCTTGTAGAAATGCAATAGTGTGATATTAGTTCAGCTAGAGACTTGTACGTTTGGGTAAGCGCAGAGGCGCAGTCGAATTCCTTGTCACGATTTGCAAAGTTCTTTATGAATATGTGGAAAAATGGAAAGCTTTGTATCGCGTCTCCTTTGGCATAGCTAAGTGAAACAGATAGCACGGCTTTGTTTGGGGTCCTTCATACCGCGCCTGTAACCGCTTTGCGCCTATCCCAGTATTCCAAGGCCTTTCCAAAAAGTTAAAAGATTATGCTCTTTGTAGTAAACATGCCGAGTAACCCCACTGAACAAACAAAAGTTTGAGCAAGATATCTGCTTTTGATATTGGGATGCGGATAATGAAATAGTGCCCAAAAGCCAAGTAGCGGCAGCTGCTAGCTGATATATAAAGGCACCCTTAGACATCTTCGAATCAATATCAACAAAAAGATTTATATTAAAAACGGAACATAATTTGTGCATTAAAGAAGTAATTTCAAGAAAGCACTCCTACGTCGATGCACTTTGTTCCACCCGATAATCGACCCTTGCTATCTAACAATGAGATTGGGACTTCCCGACAGGTGACGTTCTTATTTACATTTGTGTAAATCGGCACAGAAAACGAATACACACGCTTTAGTGTTTGAAGGCAGTGGCTCGGCAAATCTCGACCTAGTCAAATTTTCGCTCACCTGGGGTTATTCAATACGCTGATTACGAAAATCCACTTTGGAGAGCTCGAAAACGGCGAAAACGAGGTTTTTCAACTTTCTTTCCTTCAAAATTGGACGAATGGAGCAAGGCTGATGATGCTGAATCGTTGCGGGACCCAATGATTATAGCATTGCGGCGGGCAGCCTCCAGGTGAGAAGGAAGTTGACAACTCGTCCGGGTGCGTGTAAGATTGGCTTGCTCGTGTAAGTCTGAGAGCGATTTTCTCGAAAGGGAAGACATGCTGTGCAATCGGGATTGCACTGTTTTCATACTTGGACGATAAGGAACCTACTGCGTTAAGATCCTGAGTCGTCAAGTTTTGCCGATCCACTGCCTTTAAGATACAGTAATGTATGAGTGGATATTGTGTCGCTGCATAAATTGTGCTCAACGATCCAATCTTGCAAAGATATTTGCAAAATCAAGATAGGAAAAAAGTACTACGGAACTTAGACTAGACTTTGTTTGCTACTCACACAATCGCCGCGGGCAGGCGGGCGCCGGAAAACACGCGTTGCTAACATTTCGCATTCCGCTCGCAAATTTCGGGAAAATGGTTAGCTAGTTTTTGAGTCCTCTTTAGTTTACGTGATAGTTGCTGAAAGTAAAACTACAGAAATTGAGAAATCGGTTTTGGCCGGCTTTTAGAGGCAGTGTCCGGGCAAAAACTCAATTTTGGGGTTTTGTGCTTACCCGAGCACAAACGCCAAAAAAAACCCTAATAACCCCAATAAACTCACTCCATGAGCTTTCCGTTGCACAGGATCTAGAGATGACTTCTACCTTTTTTGTTACCTTTCAGATCTACTGTAGGTGTACTGTAGATGGCAGTATGCGTAATTATAAAAAGTGGGTTGAAAAAGTGGGCGGGTCCGTAAAGAGGCCTTGGTCCCAAAGAGCAGACAACTAAAAATCTGCATGGTCGTCAATGTGTTAAAGGCAGTGTCCGGGCAAAAAGTTGAAATTGAGATTCTGTGCTTACCAAGGCCTATTCGCTATGCTGAACTGAAAATCCACATTGGGAAGCGTGAAAACGGCAAAAAAAGGCTCTAACGCAGGAGGGAAACAGCAAGTGGGCGGGGTCCTCCGCACTGTGAAGTCACTGTGTATTGTAAGTCAATGTGTATTTTCGGATCCAGCATAGCGAATAGGCCCGGGTAAGCACAAAATCCCAAAACCGAGTTTTTGCCCGGATACTGCCTTCAATTCCATAGTTTGGCGACCAACTATTAAGAATGGGACTTCTAATGTGAGCAAATAAGGAATAGTGTATTGCATTGAGCACAAGAAGAGGCAACTAACTCATCTTTGGGATAAAGTTAGTCAAGTTTGAAAATGACCATTTCGCTTGTGTGGCTCAATATCTGGGGACCCTAGAATTTGGTAAAAACTGGTGCTTATGAGTTGTTTGGCATGCTGATTACGAATATTATACTCATGCTTGCTAAGGCCTTTTTGCTATATTTACGGTAGGTACACGGTGACAATATCTCGAAAGGTGATTAGCTTTCGTATAAAGGATATTTTGGATGTGTTCGCGATATGATGTTCATCTGCTGTAGCAAGTTCACTCGAACTCACATGCAACACTGCCGCTCTCTTGCTCGTACATCTTCACAATATTCTTTCGTTGGATACCTTTTACTTCACCTTGATTACGACCCCTTCCCCTCTCAGGCCCCTCCGTACGACCCCTAGGTTGGCGTGCCACACCTCAGGCTTTACCCTGCTTGGAACATTGCCCGAAAAGTAGCCTATGTGAATGAGCGATGTTGAAAACATTTGAGTGCAAAGTTTGATACTGATCAGTTTACATGCAAACTTTTTTATGATAAAAACTTCAAACATCTCGAGCAATCCTCGTCTTCAGAGGCCTAAAGTGACGCGCGATTAATGATCTTATGCTTGTCCCATCAAACGCCCAAACCAAAGTAGTGCAATAGATTGACTTATATGGCTAATTTGCACTACTAATTCGGAGAAGGCGGTCGCACACACCATCAGTGCTGTAGCGGTAGAGCCACGGTCAGTTTGTCATCCCATTTGATTTTCACTAGTGAATCCATAGGGAGGATCGAAAAACTGGCCAGGGTTGACAAGGTATTTGGTGGGACAAGCATAAGATCATTAATCGCGTGCCACTTTAGGCCTCTCAAGACGAGGATTGCTCGAAACGTTAGGCCGCTCTACTAATAAAGCTTCGCCGGAACCTCGTGTTGGCACAACTAACAAATAAACTACATCATTGTAATGCCGAGGTTCAAAGAAAAGAGGGCATTAAGCTACTTCAAACATTAACCAAAATTGGTATAGAGCAGAGTCAATCGTTCTACCTACTTGAGGGTGAATGAATAATTTTTACAAATAAAGAGGTGCTGACTTGACTGACTATGTATGCAAAAAAAAAAAAACAGATTTGATTTCGAAATTCGAATTTGCTTGAGTTTGGTTTGCATAGCTATGTCTCCAGATTTGTTATGTTCAATGGGATGTTTGTCGGAATTGCAAATGATTCAGATGAAGGATGGAGAGACGAGGCATGCATATCGGCAAACCTGAAGAAAAGGTGAGTTAGTCCTAAATGAGATGTCAGCTTCCGCATGGGTGGAACTATATTTGCACATCTGCATGTGTCTTTGCGCTCTATATTCTAGTATCCCGGATTTTTACTTAGTTGTTTAGTTAATCTGGTGGATTTACGGATCAGTAGTTTGAAGATAGACCGCCCAGCACAGCCTCTGCTAGAGCATGCTGGCTTTCATTTTCCTAATTTCTAACCGTGGAAAAAAATACAGTAACAGTACATAGAATGTCTGATGTGGGCAGTATACGCGTGCAATTCGAAAGTTGCGATCTTTCGAAGAAGAAGTGGTATTTGGGTATATGGATTTAGAAAATGCTTCAACTTCACTCGGAATCAAAGCTTTGCGGCATTTTTGCTTGATGCATCAATGTCCCAGAGGCTGATCCTTTCTTTTCAAAATACCTTATCTTCGTACGAAGCCGAGGGAAATGCCATGCTGTTGGGCTAAACATACAGGGTGTCCCAAAAAATGTATCGGACGTTTGATCGTTAATATCTCTCTTCTCAAGAAGTTTTTTGCTTTGCTTCAGGTACCGTTTTGTAGAGCTGGCTTCAACTTAGATTTGCATTTTAGAACGAATCACCCATCTCTCTTCATTACTGTAGGATTACGGTAGAAACTTGAAACATATGGTGTCAATGTGGAAAAAGCTGCCGTTTCAAAATTTTTCAAAAATTATGAAAACTTGTGTAATAGGGTTTTTGTGGACGCTGAGTTCAATACTTAACTATTCACAAGATTACGAAGCTTTCCAGACGGTGTAATCGCACTTTTTAGGAACATTGAAAAAATGGCCGCTACCTCTTACCTGGCATAACCCTTCAATGAAGCATCATAATAAGTTGGGATTACAGTAATGATCAGCAACTCTGATTAGCCTAGTGTAAAAGCCTTCAGGCTGTTTTGTTTCTTTCTAAGGCAAAATATGACCTTTCATTGCTTAACACCCTCTTTGAAGTTTCTACGTAATCCTACAGTAACGAAGAAAAATGAGTGATTCGTTCTATAGCAAATTCAAGTTAAAGCCAGCTCTACAAATTGGTGCCTGAAGCAAGAGAAAAGATTTCTTTAAAAGAGAGATATTAAAAATCAAACGTTCGATACATTTTTTTGGGACATCCTGTATAATATAATTTAGCAGTGCTGTGCACCTACTTGACGAAATAGTGGTAGTAGTGAAGTGAAAGCAGAAGAACATCGAAAAATTTCTAGGTTTTAGGCTTTATCGTCCACTACTCGACCGCGTTCTTACCGACATAGTTTATCCAATGAAAACTATGAACATGACGTTTGTGGAATACGTGATATTGAAAGCGCTCGTCACTTTCAAGAGCACATGTAAATTACTCAATAATTTCTTTACACTTAGTAAATTTCCACGCTGAGAATTCCAGTGACATCCAACATTTGCCCGTCTATGAAAAGGTGCCTGCTCTCGCAAATTGACCTTATATTCGAGGCACTCTCTGTGCATTATTCCGAGTTAGGACTGTCATCAGACGACGTGGCCGAACGGACTGGCAATGTAGTGCTTTTGATCAGCAATGTTTTTGTAAGTTTTTTGGGGTTTGTACGCATTTTTTGATCGCTTAATGGGCAAATATCAATTTTCTTTAACACGTTTCGGACCGGTGCTGCACATGGTGCAGCACGCGTCTTTCAAGGATCTTTTTGATATTAGGAAGAGGTTTTCTTTTAGTCCAAGGTTATAAAGTCAAAGGCCTAAGCTTCTTCTTTTCAAGTGACTCTGTAGAGTTGTGCCGCCGATATCTGTTTAGGAGATATGAGCACAAATCGAACAACAGTTGCAACGGAATGCGGCAACGCGAACGTCGCGTGCGACGTCGCAATTTCCCTTTGCTTCGATATCAGAGAGAAAAACTGTGGTTTCAATGCTGATATGTACCGTCTACAACATGGATACTTTTGGATACTATTAGAAACTGAGTTCTTGTTCCTATCTTCCAGGAAAGCACAAAAGTACTTCACAAGCGGCAAAATTCAAACACTTCGAATCCACTCAGAACTTTGTGTATGGAACTTATCTGACAAGCTGATTGCAGATGTAGCACATAATTTGCGAGATAAGGTCCCTTTGTTGGCTAACGACTGAAAGTGCACCCTTTTTTCGCGCGCGCGATTTCGCGGTCCGAAACGTGTTAACTACAAAAAACAGGCTTGTTTTCTCTAACAGCTATGCATGATATGTCAAAAGCCATGACCTGGAAACCATAGTCATCTGCCACGGATGTTACTTTTGACTTTCGAGCCGCAAATTACATTAATTGAACGAGGATCTCAAAAGCAACTGCTTCAATATTTAGGGCGTTCTACTAAGGTTTACTACGAAAGTACCTGAACTGTAATTTTTGCCCGGGAAAAATCTAGATCCTGCTTTTCAATATCAATAATTGGACAGACGTATCCTGCTATCAAGTAATCACCTGCACAGAGTGATGAGATATTACAGGAACATTATTTAGTAGCAAAGTGTGGCCAACAAAGTTCAACTATCAAATTTATTTGGAAGAATTGCGCAAGAGCCGATTGGGTCATCGTATGCGAGATGACTCTACGTTTGTATACAAAATATTTCAGGAAGTTGGAATGCAATGCCTCGAAAGTCACCAAGTGATACAATTTTTCGACTTGTGGAAGCTCGATGACCTGCTAGTGAAATTGATAAGTGAGACTGCACAGCTTTGATGAGGCCTTCCCTATCAGCAGGGCAGATCGCAGATTTCAACCCTTTCTATGTGGTGACCATATCTTGGATTGTACAGAACTTCAATAATTGTTCGAGAAATCGGTGCTGTAAAAAATTCATTTTCTGTACTTTTCCCTGTATGATGCGTTGTTACTTTCAGTTGAAATAGTAGCATCTTGATGATAAATAGGCAAGTTATCTTACATTAGAGTTGCGGTATATGTAGGTTCACCAGCTATACTAGCTCGTGTTGAAACAATGTAGTGTTGGCACTTACGTCAGTTCTTGCAGCACTTCATCGAATAGTTGAATTTCGGCTATACTATCGCTGATCGCGATCAGAAGAGATTACCCTAGAAAACCGATGCCTATTGATGTAGAGCAGAAAGGTATTTGTAATATCGTATTATTTGACATTCTATGTATTCTTAACTCCCAATTTGGAAAATGTTCATTATTCTTCTTCTCATCTCGACCATATAAAGCTGCATCGCCATTCGTGTGGACGGCAGTCAACGTACAGCACACTGAACCGCCGATATACAGGGTGTCCCAAAAAGATGTGCACACTGTTTGATTGTAAATAACTCTCTTGTAGTGAAGTGTTTCGAGAAGCTTTAGGTACCATTTTGTAGAGCGAGGTTCAACTTGGATTAACAGTGTAGAGCGAATCGCCGGTCATTCATTCTTACTGTAGGAGTACGGTAGAAACTTCAAACATATGGTGTCACTGTGAAAAAAGGGGCCGTTTCAAAAATTTTCAAAAAAATGTGGAAATTTGTGTAATATGGTTTTTATGGACCCTGAGTTCAATAACCAACTCTTTACAAGTTTGAGAAGCTTTCTAAACGGTGTAACCGCACTTTTTAGGAATACTTAAAAAACGTCTGCTACTGCTTACCTCGCATAATTTTTTAATGAAGCATTAGGAAGAGTTGCGAACTTCATATTTAGAATCAGCAACTCTAGTTAGCCCAGTGTGAGAGTTTTCAGGTTGTTTTGTTTTCTTTTTGGAACGAAATATGGCCTTTCATGGCTCAAAACCCTCTTCAAAGTTCCTACCGTAATCCTATAGTAAGAATGAGAGATCGGCGATCCGCTCTACACTGTAAATCTAAGTTGATCCTCGCTCTACAAAATGGTGCCTAAAGCTTCTCAAAACAATTCACCACAGAAGAGTTATTTACAATCAAACAGTGTGCACATCTTTTTGGGACACCCTGTATATACCACAGAGGTGTTCCATCGGACATGGCTCATACTGAAATTTGGCAAATTTGGATAGGGGCCTCTTTAAATCATGCCAATGCTAAGGTCCCATCTAAGGTTGAGCACGAGGTGTGGCACACGGCCGCCATATACGACCCCTCTCCCCTCCCCTCTCCTTGAATTACCTCATATCTGCCGTGGCATAAAGGGCCGGGTGTACATCATGCGATTTCATCGCTTCGCGATTCTCATAACAAGACAACTGTTACGAGTTCATTGCATGCAGATCATCTTGCAATTCGGATTAGTTGTGCCGGAAAACTACCACAACCGAAATGCAAGATGATCTGCATGCAGGGCCCGGCAGGAGGTGGCATTTCAGAATTTTGAAAACGATGTCCCCTTTGAAGCCAAAATTTCTTACGACTTCCCCTTTGACCCTATTTTTGACCCCCGTAAGTCCCTGACAAACAGATATACACAAATAATAAGATGGGCGGCCTCAGCGCTTATTATAGTAGTACTACCTGACTTTCCTGGTCCAGCCCGGGTCATCAAGGTTTCAGCTTAATGGGTTCATCCGCAAAGGAATCTATAAAAAAACATAGGGTCAAGATTTGCACAAACTTTGACGTTTATATATCTAAGTACTCATTTATTAGTGAACTGCGAGACTTTACAGTTCACAACAACCGATTGCGATTGAAGCGCGCTTTTCGAGGCCGATCATAAAGCTGTGAACCCTATTTGGGGCTGTATCGAAGCGGTGCCTTGGTGGCTTTGGAAGAGGATTTGAACATATAGTAATACTCTCGACCTAGTCCACATTTATGTAAAGAAATCCGGGAAATTATGTGAAGGGAAGCAGGGAGCCACCCCAGGTGGCTCCCAGGTGGCGCGGGAGCCACCTAATTTCGAAAAACGCTTACCATTTTTTAAATTCACATAAGTTTCTCATATTTCTTCATACTTTTTTTGTGCTCATTGTCCTCCAACTACACAGCAAATTTGGTGCCATATCATTACTTGTGCATTGAAAACGAGCCTATTTCGTTATTTTCCTCTTACAAGAATTGCGATTTGAATTCCCGCCTGCGGGCAGGCTAGTGATCGGAGCACAGAATCTTCACATTGCTGGAATCTAAGTTCATAGGACAGTAGCATCAACAAGGAATGATGAATAAAGAATGATATGTGCATTGTTTATCGGTAAACAAAGGGGAAGTCGTATTTTGGGGTCCGGGGCGAAGTCCCGGACCCCAAAATACGACTTCCCCTTTGTTTTTTCGGGCCAAAACGATATCCAGCTTGCGAAAGCGCCACCCCCGCCGCCTGTCTGCATGCAATGAACTCGTAACAGTTGTCTTGTGGTGAGAATCGCGAGGCGATGAAATCGCGTGTGTATGCCCGGCCTTCAATAAAGAAGACCTAACAAGGATACTAATGCTGAATGTTGAATGACCCTGAGCTAAAGTTTGAACGAGTTCCAATGTTCCAAATCTATAGCCAGCCATGTAGAATGGTCATTTCGAATTGACTATGTGTTTGTTAGCTGCCTTCTTTTGCGCACGATGTAACATAGTACTCCTTTGTTCACATTAGAAATCCCACTTTGAATAAATGGGATTACAATCCAGCCAAGATCCCATTTGAGTGATTGTGCTTTGGGCAAATTTTCAAATTTACCCTGGAAAAACTACCACTGAGAACGTCCTGAATTTAGGAGCATCATTCGACTCAGCTTGACGAGACGAAGTCTAGTATAAGATGTACCTTCTTGGGTACGCATGCGCATGGCAAGCGGTCAGATTTTACGACGATTACGGCACTTTCCGGGACCGCCGCTGTCGTTTTTCAAAAATCACAAGCGATTTTGTACTTGTTCTGCAAGTCTCGCAAGAGCAGTTTTGTATGCTCAGATAAACAAATCTTGACGTTGTATCCTCGCCTGCTACAATAAAATTGTATTTTGCTTGTCTAGACCACCAACCCAAACAGGAACAGACTTCACTTTTTCTCATAAACTTTTTGAAGGCATTGGTTCAGACTTACCACTCTAATGAAATCCATTACATCAGAATCATTTTGGATCATCTTGGTTCCTCACCCTACTCATTACTACAGCCTTCGAGTGTTTGTGTGGTTTTTTCGAAGAAGGCCACTATAAGGTCATAGGCATGCAAAAATGAAGAATCTTGGATCAAAACATTTCAACATTGAGTGCTCGAACATTAGCGTGAACACTGAATTTGGCTTTCTCAAACAATGTATTGGGTGGTCCCGAAAGTATTTCCCCATTTTTAATTGAGCGCCACGTCCGAAAGAATCAATTAATAGACAATTTTAGTGGTTTTCAATACGCATTCTATCTTCTTTCGATTGCGGCTTTTGATTGCAGTGCAAAGTAAGTTCTTAAAAAATCACCAAAGTTTGCAATCCATGATATCTGCCTTCGTCAAGTTCCACTATCTTTTCGAGCTTGTATGTCTGCTTCCGATGGGGTAAAGTGACAGATGGATACACCCAAAAGGACAACCATCAAAGAATTTCTTCATCAGCTCTGAGCGAATTTGCAGAATTATACCTTACAATTAGAAATGCTGACATTCCGCAATGAATGAATTGTGTGCAACTGTACCGAAGCCCTTAAATTTCCTTTTTTAGTGTGCTGACTTGGTAGTAAAAATCCAAATTTTTTGAAAAAAAAGCATTTTTCAGAATCAAATGTTTGTTAGAAGCCCAGAAAAGAGACATACACTTTCTAGCTTTAGCGCGCTATTTAATCTGTGCCGAATGCAACACATTTTTTGAAAATGCTCATATTTAGGCTTGGTGGTGGTAGTCAGCTGAAAACTGCAGAACTTTTCTGGAAAATGCCTAGAGATTTCTACTTGTAAACGTAGTCATATGGAAGAGCATAAAGAGCTACATCTAATGCTATTGTGGCCAGAACTCGGCACGAGGTACCTCTCCGAAAATGCAAAAAAAACGAGGTCTTTCCTGAGTTTTGCAAAATTTTACGAAGTCCCCTTTGAACATTATTTGAAATATTATAACCGACTAAAACAAAATTAATTTCGGGCCCACAAAAACGATATTCTTCTTGCTTTTTGCCCCAAAAACGATAATCAGCTTGCTTATAAGCCACCTGTGCTGAGCCCTGGTTTTGGTGACCAGTCAAAATAGCGAGATTACTTCTTAGATGACCTATTAATATGAAATTACTAGCTGGCTTACCCGGCTCCGCCGTATTCGGACCAAACTTGGCACACATACACTTCGGGCCCCGGCGGGTGTCACAGTCCACTTTTCGTTATCGATCGATGTCGATTTTACCGATTTTTATCGATTTTTTTGCAGAGTTCACCTACAGGGCTAGGAGTTGGCATAGGGGGGGAAGTGAGCATGGGGATTCCGAATACAATATTAGTTTTCAGAATTATCGATTACTTTTATTGATTTTATCGATTTTTTGTAAATTTTGACATGCGAGGCTGGGATTTTGCACAGGGGGGTAATCGAGCATGCTGATTACGAACACAATATTAGTTTTCAGGATCGTCCATTACTTTTATCGATTTTATCGATTTTTTGAAAATTTGAGTTAGGGGACTGGAATTTGGCACAAGGGTGTAACCGAGCATGCTGATCACCCCCCTTGGGAGTGATCAGCATGCTCGATTACCCCCCTGTGCCAACTCTCAGCCCCCTAGCTTAATTGCAAAAAATCGATAAAATCGATAAAAGTAATCGATAATCCTGAAAATCAATATTGTATTCGTAATCTGCATGCTCGATTACCCCCCCCCCCCCTGTGCCAACTCCCAGCCCCGTAGGTGTACTCAGCAAAAAATCGATAAAAATCGATAAAGTCGATATCGATCGATGACGAAAAGTAGCCTACGACATCCGCCGGGGCCCGAAATGTATGTGTGCCAAGTTTGGTCCGGATCCGTTCAGAAATAAAATTTTCTATTCGGAACATACGTACATACAGACATACATACATACAGGCCCC